TATATTTATATATATATGTAATATTTATATATAATTTTATTAATTATATTTATTATTATTAATATATATAATTATATTAATATATATATAATAATAATAATAATATTAATTATTTTATAATTATATATATATAATTTTATTAAGCATTGCGTATATATAAAAACTTAAATATATATAATATATAATTTAATATGCAATCAAATATATAAGATATAATATATAAAATATTATATATAATATTATATAATACGTATATATATATATATAGTCTTTGAAGAGTATCTAAAAGTAAAACAATAAATGTTTAGGCCTTGTACTTTCATATTCTCGATTGCGAGAATAATCTAATGGCAGAGAGATTGTCGAGAAGAAGAGGGTTGAAAAATTCAAAGATAAATGCTATTTAATATCCACTTGATAAGAAATTATTACAAACAAGTTTGTGAATGAACTTTAATGCAAAAGAAAATACTTTAATGCGTTCATTATAAATTTTCAACGGAAAACTTGAAATGAGGTCGTTTGAAAAGAAAAAAAAATAAATAAAAAAATAAATAAAATGATAAGAAAACGAAAGGTGCGAATGACCTGGTAGATAAAATAAAATCGATAACATGAATATTGTTCAAAAGAAAATTCTTTATAAATTAAGAAATTTACGAATTTTAATAAGATTCAACACACACACACACACACACAGAAAAAAAAAAGATTTTTTGTGAAAAAGAAAAAAGAATTAAATATTTTGTTGGTTTTTTTTTTTTCGAATTTTTCGAGTGTCATGGAATTGCGTCAGAATCAGATTTACGTCAGAAATGATAAATATCGATTGATTATTATCATCAATCGATCAGATAAATTTCTATATTGACTATTTTATTTTTTGTAGAAAATTAAAAGATACAACAAAAAAATAATAATTAAATTGCGTAGGATGTGAAAAAAAAAAACACGTGTATTAGAGAACAAAGTGTGAACATTTGATTTGAAGGTCAATCGGAAATCGATTTTCTTGTTTGAACTTCGCACTATCCATGCTTTTCTCGAGGACTTTCTCCCCTCTTCTTCTTTTCATTAAACGTGTTGAATTCTCCTACAAATATATTACATTATACGTAGATCTGTTTCTCGGATAGCGTCAGAACGATAACGGTTAAAAGTAAGAGAGAGAGAGAGAGAGAGAGAGAGAGTGAGTGAGTGAGTGAGAGAGGGAAAGAGAGTTGGTGAGTGAGAAGGAAGCGAGGAGAAGGAGGAACGAACACCACATCGTTTATGTATTTATCGAGATATCTGCAGACATAGCGTAAGATATAAAGGGCACCTAGAATACGACGTAGCCAGTCTTCATAATCAATTTAGATTCGTTAACATCGATTTTAAAAAGGGAAAGTAATATTTGAAAATTTGGAAAAATGCGGTAAGTGATTTTGTGTTTTCATATCTTATTAAATATATATATATATAATATATATAATATATATTTCCATATATATGAAATTAAATATATTAAAATATATAAATATATAAAAAAAATAATATTCCAAATATGTATATATATATTTCCGGTAATGAATTTTAGAATTCTTAATGCCAAGTAATAATATATATATATATATATATATATATATATATATTAAAAATAGATACTATATATATAATAATAATATAAAAATAGATAAAAAAATATATATATAAAATTATATATAATATAATAAATAATATATATATATATATATTATTATATATTATATATATAATTTTATATATATTTTTTTATCTATTTTTATATTATTAATAGTATAAACTAAATAGTTTATATTTTTCTATATATATATATATATATATATATATATATATA